GTAGAAGCCCTGAAAAACATGTAATCAATCTTTGAAACCATGTGGTATGTTGTTACTTTTGAGTTTGATATTTTTCTCATTTCATAGTAGAACATGAAGTAAAAACATAATATGACTAAACAATATACCAACAAAATTATGTGGCTAATTACAAATGTTTAACATTAATGCTTGTTGTAAGCAACTGATCTCCCACATTTTAAAATGGTTACTATCCAAGACTGCAACTAAAAACAATAGAAAAAAAGTCGACATGGAANACATGAATACTTTTAAAAGAAGTTGAGCTTGAGCTTCTAGATTTGAACATTCGGACAATAATACTAAAAGTTAGGTCTGTAACAATCTACCCATCTCAAGAGATTGTTTTAGTTAAGATAGTGCTAGTTCATAAATTAACAGTTTGGAGATTAAAACATGAAGAACCTACATCAAACATGAACACTTGAATCGGTTGGTTACCCATTATGTTGGGATGCAGACTCGATAATGATCAGTCATGTCCCAGGTCTTAATCCTAAAAAATCATGTCAAAAAAAAAATCTGTTGCAGCCCACAAACAAGCACACAAAGAATGAGAACAAGAGAGACGGTGTTGCATCAATAGAAGCAATGACACAACATCTTGTTAGTAGTTCAAAATCTCCATGATACATGAATATTTAACAATCAATTATATGATAAAAGGTCTAAGTTATCGATGATAGATGTTTAAGCCAAATCACTGGTGGAGTAGCAAATGAAAGCCAAAGTATCACATATAATTCAGGAAAACATGCATAGAGTGACTCATCACAAACAATGATTTGTTTAACTCATGTCACATCATTAAATAATAAATTTTAACAAATATAAAAAAAACCCCAATACATGAGTTATGTATTTTAATTTTATTGTATATGTGTTTTTTATGTAAACTTATAAAAAAGTGGCACCAGCACGACGCTAATAGCTTGACTGAAAAAAATGAATGCGGAGGACTGAGTGTTTAGTAGAAGCCCTGAAAAACATGTAATCAATCTTTGAAACCATGTGGTATGTTGTTACTTTTGAGTTTGATATTTTTCTCATTTCATAGTAGAACATGAAGTAAAAACATAATATGACTAAACAATATACCAACAAAATTATGTGGCTAATTACAAATGTTTAACATTAATGCTTGTTGTAAGCAACTGATCTCCCACATTTTAAAATGGTTACTATCCAAGACTGCAACTAAAAACAATAGAAAAAAAGTCGACATGGAAATATGACCAATTTGAGGGATTCATTTTAAGCATAAGGCATCTATATACATTTGAACAAAGGTCATAATCTGAAGTTGCATTAGTAATGATCAAAGTGTTTTGTCATATTCAAGGACCTTATACAAAGGTTTGGAAAAGAACCGTGATTGATGGGGCAGTTAAAAACATGGCGATAATTCATCTATAACAAATTGATGGGGCAGTTAAAAACCTGGCGATAATTCATCTATTACAATTTGACGTTCAACTGCTTTGTGCTATGTTTTGATGGTGAACCAACAAAACACAGATGCATCATATCTTCAAACAAAAAAGATGGTGGATAGAGATAAACAAAAATTAGAGTAGACAAACATTTAATAGTTACAATTTCAAGTAATCCATGAGCATAGTGCATATGGGCATGTGGAGGATATATACGGTATGAAATCATTTAGATGCAACACAACACACAGTGAAATAATTTTTTTTCTAAAATTTGACCCATAGTCAAATATTTACGAAAGCGATCCCTATAATTGCAAAATGCCCACATAAGAATTCCCAAATAACGCAACCACATATTTGAGAAATAGAGCAGTGAAAATGTTGATTTAATTCAACTCTGTGAAGTACCAATAGTTAAAATAACATAAAAAGCTTACTAATTGAGCTTGTGGCATATAAAATAAGGATAACTGAGTTCAAAGTCATCGGTTATGGATTTCAGCTACACCCACCAAATTCAGTTAATGAATGAATGTTCTAGCAAGCGTCAAGGTTTTCTGTAATATCATTGTCAATAACTCTGATGCCAATTTCTTTTCAAGCAACTCTGTTGTGTCCTCAATCCCCGCCATCCTCATATTACATGCATTTTGATCCCACAAATGTGGTTTCCTACACACACAATCATATGTATAATCATAAAATGGGACCCAGACTAACATAGTAACTTGTTCAAAAATTTATGGAGATCACAAAACATGCATATTGAACCTTAAGTTCAACCTGCATGTACTTGAATAAATGACAGAGCCCCAAAAATAAAATTACAATCACCCAAAAAAAAAAAGAAGAAGAAGATAATGGAATACAAAATACCACATCCTTTCCCTTGGTTCCCAAAAATCTTGGGATGGTGACTTCCGAACACTACCAAATATTTCCTCGAAATCAAAGACGACATGAACCTCCCATTACGATGATGTTATTAACACTAAATTTTATGTTCTTACTATGAAACAATAAATCACATACATGAGCTTCAAAAATAGATTAAATCTTAGTTTGAACAGAAAATAAAACTGGAACATCAGTTAATGATAGAACTAAAAAACACAATTAAGACCTCATAATTGCCCCTTCCTGAATAGAAATGCACCACCCAAAATTATGACTGAACAATTGCTTCAATGGGCTCCTGAACTACTCTTTAGAAAATCAAACCGAGCGTACCCAACCTTGCGAGAAATAACATCCGGAGTGTCAGAAATTGACGAAATAATCTTCCTAAACTGTTCAGAAAAGGATCACAAAGGTCCAAGAAATGTGTTAAAATTGACTTCCATCTTGGAATGTTGTTGAGCAGGTTTTTTTTTTTGTAGTCTACAATAATCATCAAATCTCGAAAATGGTATTTTCTATATTTGTTGTCTGTTATGTTCCTCATTGTATACATGTTAATTGTGACTTATGGTCTTTTAGGTAGCCCAACGGGCAAATTGTGAGGCGGAGAGAAGTAAGAATCCATTAATAGGATATTGTAATTGCGTATTTAGTGTAAGAATGTATAGGGTCAAGAAAAGGGATAAAAATTAGTTTACATTTAAGGATGAAAATAACTTAATTGTATGGTTTAAGGGTGAAAGAGAAAAACAGAAGTTTACTAATATGGAAAGAGTAACCGTTGAACTGGAGTTTTGTGTGTGAGAGAGAGAGAGAGGGACACTAGAAGGGTGGAGTAACGTGCAATGCATTTAAGTGGCAAAAAATATTTTTTTTAAGGTAAGAATACAATTAGGCAACAGTGAGAAAAAGAATAAGGATGAAATTATAGAGTGTTGAAGGGTAAATAAAGAAATCAATTTTTTTTTTCTTAAGTCACTTTTAAAAGTAGTATTAGATAAAGATATATATTCCTAATTTTTTATTTTTTCAAGTTTTGGGTTGAACTCAAATTGTACCTAGTTTCATAAAGTTGGCCCGGGTTCAAGTTGAATCTCTTAACCCGAAACTTTAACTTGAAAAATTTCAAGTTGGGTCCACATTGGGTATGAGTTGGCTCACCATAGTTACACCCTACACTTAAGTGGTCCTAGGTAAACTCGTCCTGGAATCATTTTAGGTGGAATTAATATTTAAAAACAGTGTACATGGAGTAAGGTTGCCTTCTGTCGGTACGTATATACATTGGAAATGCCAATCCTCCTTGTTCTGTTGATAGCCTTTGTGCATTTGAATCAATTTGAAAGACATACAAATGATTTGTGGGATTATTAATTGAGGTATTCTTTACTAGATTATAATTCAGCCATCTTTGCCACAATTTCTAGAAACCAATTTTGGGGACCATAGGGAAATGGCAACGATGCCGAATATATTTTAGGGTTAATAGTATTTTATGTCTCTAAAGTATGCATTTTTTGTCAGTTTAGTCTTTATTGTATCAATTTGGTCATTAAAATATTCAATTCGTATTACTTTAGTCTCTACATAAACGAACTATTTTTTTTTACGGAAGCGACCATGTGTTGGGCACGTGATACCGTCTAAAAAAATGACACGTGGTCACCCCTGTCAAAAAAATTGATGGATTATATGATTAGGGATTAGGATGATATGAATTGAATATTTTAGAGACTAAAGTGATACAGATTAAATATTTTAGGGACCAAATTAATAAAATTGATACAATGAGAACTAAACTGATATCAAATACATATTTTAGGAATTAAAAGTGCTATTAACTATTTTTTTTAGTACCATACCATAATAGTATTATCAAGGTTAAGTTATACCCTATAAACGAGAAATTATATTATTGATGATCGATCACGTTATTTCATAATTGATAGCATAATATTTTCTTATGGATTAGAAATCATGAAATATTGCAATCGATCATGAATTAACTCAAACAGATATAACTTCTTGCAAGATGTAACTTGTCTTAAAAATCATTTTCTTCAAAGTCAATACAAACATTTTAGAATCGATCATAATCATTTATTTATTACTTGGACTCTTATAAATTGTAACTTATATGTTCAAAAGTTTGTAACTTCACCATAACATGCAGTAGTACAGTACTGACATTCCCTTTGACTGAAATCTTGTATTTCTTAAAAAGATTTAATAATAATTATAATAAATAAATAAATAAAAAAGACAACCTAAAGTGTCAGGGTAGTTTCAAATTTACATTAATAGTGACTTTAATGTACAGTACAGTTTCAAATTTTATTTACTTCATCTTAGCAATGTTAATGACTCATTCTCACTTCTCTATTCACATTATCACTACATTCCCCACCCTTCTAAGCAATATGCCTGGAATATTTTCTCACTGGTTTCCCTTCTTCCAAACACCAGTTTTACAATAACCTCCAACAATGGCTAACACATCTTAGATTTCCCCTACCCAGCACCTGGTCACATCCCCTTCCTTGATCTAACCCATCAACTAGCCACTCACGACCTAACTGGTGCAGCTTCCCATCAACTAGCCACCTGATCAGATTGATAATATCCAATCTGCGGATTCCGAAAATGTGGGTGTAATAGAGAACCTGGTGCAGCTTTCCATATTGGTTCCTGAAACCATTGGGACGTGCAGATACAGTTTAGGAGATGATGATGCTTCAAGGGTTTCGAATGAAGATAGGCGGGAAAACATACCAAAGGATCAGAATGACTTGTTGGGTCAGGCTCAAACCTACATTTTAACAGAAGAGTACAACTTGGTGGAGGTGGATCTCAAATTTGATATGACCCAAGCCCCTGTAAGAATAAGTTAAGTTTTTAAAACTTTTCATCCACTTTAATTTTTAGTAATTAGAGATTTTATTTCAAATATTACACGATTTTAGTGGCAATACAAATGACCCATTTAATACATAATGGTAATATTTTTAAATGTCTTTTAAGTTGACTAGTAAATTCCATTTAGACCTAGAATTTACTAATGAGTTATTTTTGTGCCTATATAAATCATTTGGTGGAGCTATTCTAAAAAACATATATATTGAAATCCATTCCTGAGTTTTTTAAGTTTTCCATATAAAGCTTTCCTAGCTTTGTCAACCTATCTTTCCAAGTTTTGCTGAGTTTCCTAATTGTCCAGCTTTTGTCAAATTCATTTCAACTACAAGCATATCATATTTTCTTGTGTTTTGGAAAACTCGATTAGTGTCAAGTTTACTCTTTCCTTCCAGTGGACGTGATCATTGAGAAGGTGCTGCTGCAAGTGTCTGTGTTGGATCTTGGAGTCGCTGGTGTCCGTCAGTACCCTCACGTGGGGAGGCTTAGCTGCTTTAGGACAGTGATCACACGCCTCTCGGACCCATAGGCCAGCTCATTCCAAATTAATTTATTTAGTTTATATAAATCACATGTTTATACATTTTTTGTATTTATTTATTTAAATTGCATGTTATATGATCTAACTATTGTTTGCATGCTTTATTTCGAATTTTAGATTACAACACTCATGATTATATTGCTCACATCATAATTCTAATATTTTTTGAGTTGTTCCAATTATAAATCTATTCTTAAAACTATAATTATTTTTTACAATCTAAAACAACTGACCTTTTGTTGTTGAAAATAAAAAAAAAACGTTTTTATTTTGAGGAAAAAAAAACAGTAGCAGTTTTTCTGGAAATAAAACTTACTGTTTTTCTGAAAAAAAAACTGTTATGTTTTTCTGGAAAAAAAACTGTTTCTGGTTTTAAAAAAAAACAGCTTTTAAGAATTTTCTGGAAAACAGTTTAAAAAAAAAACATATTTTGCAGTAACCGAATCTATCTAAAGGGATTTACAACAATAAAAAAAAAACTAGTAGCTACTTGCTTTAATAAAAAAAAATATAGCTACTTGATTTAAAAAAAAATTTCAAGAGCTATTACAATAATTTAAACACCTTTCTTAATTTCGTTATAAATAGAATTTTGACAGTTATTATTTAAATTTAATACAGGTTATTTGCATATCTCTTATTATTTCTTTGTCCTTGAATTCTAAATTAAGGATGACTAGACTAGAAGAAGCTAATAGTGTCAAACTTGAAAAATTTAGTTGTCAAAATTTTCGTAGGTGGTAAAAACAAGTTCGATATTGGTTGATCGTACTAGACTTAATTTCTGCTATAGAAGAGCCTCATTCTGGTCAAGAATTCTCTTCGTGGTAAACCCCCAAACAAATTGAATATCACTGTCATAATATGATTTTTAGTGCTCTTTCTGACCATCTTTATGATGTCTACCATAATATTACGACAACAACCAAAGAGCTTTGGAACACTTTAGAGGCCGAGTATGAGATTGTTGATGCTGAAATTAAACGGTTTATGATCTCTAATTTTAATAGTTATAAAATGGTGGAGAATAAACCCGTTGGTGATCAAATTCATGAATATCAAGAATTTTTGAGAAAAATCGAAAAAGGTGGAACTACATTTAGTGAAGATTTTAAAGTTTCAAGCTTAATTGACAAACTTCCACCTTCTTGTGATAATTTTGCTAAGACCCTTAGACATAAGTAAGGAGAGTTAACCTTAACCTAAACTATAAACGCGCTTAGGGTTGAAGAGAAGCATAGGGTTAGTACAAACTCATAAAATGAGAGATCCCCCAAGGTAAACCTAGTGGAAATAGTAACAACAACCATAACAATTTTTCGACCTAGGGGATGAAATTTTAAGAATAAGAGGTTTAATGGTCATCCTAATAATGGTAAAAAACAAAACAATCAAAATAATAATAATTACAATAATAGTAAGTTCAAGGGCTTAGGAAGAGAGAGGATGTCTTGCTTTGTTTTTAGACGAACCAATCACTTGGCTAAGGATTGCTACTACAAGAAAACTAAGTCATATAAGCTAAAACCCAAGCCAAATCAAAGAGGTCTAAGAGCCCAAGTCAATGTTCTAGTGGATGAAGATAATTTTACCGAATTCTCCTTTAGATATAATCGTTCCCTAGTTAATTTTACTTATCAAGATAAAGATTGGTGGTTAGACTCTAGAGCTAATATACATGTTTGCTTTGATCGTGATTTATTTAAATCTTATCAGAAATCAAGTAAAGGGAGTGTAATGCTAGGAAATGATTCTGTCGCACAAGTATTTGGAATTGGAGACATAGAGTTAAAGATAACATCTAGTAAGACATTGATCTTGAAGGGAGTGCGACATGTTCCTGAAGTTAGAAGAAATTTAGTCAGTGGGTCGTCCTTAGTCTAACAAGGTTATAAGGTTGTAATAGAGTCAAATAAAGTTGTGATAACTAAGAATGATATATTTGTTGGCAAATGATATATTTGTGATGGTTTATTTAAATTGAATGTACTTTCAGAAGTTATTAAAATTTCTCATCAAATTTTCAATGTTGAATCTTGCAATGTATGACATGGAAGATTAGGACACATAAGTCTAAAGAAAATCAACAGGATGATGGATTTTAATCTTATTCCCAAATCTCATGTAGATTTTAAACATAAATGTGAAATTTGTGTACAAGCCAAACAAACTAGAAAACCTCATAAGAGCATAGAAAGGAATACCCAACTTCTAGAACTTGTACATAGTGATGTATGTGATTCTAGTAGACCACCAACAAGAGCCGGGAATAAATATTTTGTGACTTTCATAGATGATTGTTCTAAATATTGTTATATTTATCTTATCAAGAACAAAGATGAAGTATTTAATAAGTTTAAGATATATAAAAATGAGGTTGAAAATCAATTAGAGAGAAAAGTAAAAAGATTAAGGTCTGATAGAGGTGGTGAATATACTCTAACCGACCTTAGTACATTTTGTGAAGAACATGGAATAATACATGAAGCGACTCCTCCTTATCCTCCTCAATCAAATGGGGTAGCTGAAAGAAAGAATAGAACTTTAATGGATATGGTAAATTCAATGTTGACTAGTTCCGGCTTATCTGATAATTTGTGAGGGGGGGGGGGGAAGCTATACTTAGTGCTTGTTTCATCTTGAATAGAGTATATGTTAAAGATAATGAGAAAACTCTATATGAGATATGGAAGGGAAGAGTTCCTAACCTTAGTATCATGAAAATGTGGGGGTGTTTAGCTAAAGTAGCTATTCCCGAACCAAAAAGAAAGAAAATAGGTCCTAAGACCGTAGACATCGTCTTTATAAGATATGCCCAAAATAGTAACGCTAATAGATTCTTAGTTATTAACTCGAAAATTAGTGAAATGTCAAACAATACTATAATTGAATCTAGAGATGCTACATTTTTGAAGATATTTTTCCTTTTAAAAATACAATGCCTAGTCAAGTAAGAGAAAAATCTTCAACTAGTGATCAACCTTCTACTAGTTCTATTGCTCCAATAGAGAAAAATATAGAACAACATGTAGAGCTAAGGAGAAGTAAAAGACCAAGAATAGAGAAGGACTTAGGAGATAGATTTTTTACTTTTCTAGTAGAAGGAGAGCCAACGACATATAAAAAAGCTATGTCTTCTATAGATGCACCTTTTTGGAAGGAGGCTATTAATAGTGAAATTGAATCTATATTGCTTAATAATACTTGGGAGATAGTAGAATTGCCTACTGGAAGCAAAGCTATTGGGTGTAAGTGGGTATTTAAGAAGAAATTAAAACCTGATGGGAGTATAGATAAATATAAAGCTAGATTGGTGGCTAAAGGATTTACTCAAAAGAAAGGGATAGATTATTTTGATACATACTCGCTTGTGACTAGTATTACTACCATTAGAATACTAGTAGCTCTAGCATCTATCCATAACTTAGTAATACATCAAATGGATGTCAAGACCGCTTTCCTAAATGAGGATTTAGATGAAGAAATATATATAGAACAACCTGAGGGGTTTACGGTGAAAGGACAAGAACATAAGGTTTGTAAGTTAGTGAAGTCTTTATATGGCCTTAAACAAGCTCCTAAATAGTTGCATGAGAAGTTTGATAAAGTAATTCTAGAGTATGATTTTCAAATTAATGAAAGTGATAAATGTTTATACTACAAGGATAGTGATGTTGGTTGTGCGATTTTATGTCTCTATGTAGATGATATACTAATTTTTGGGACAAACTTGGAGGTCGTTAATGATGTTAAATCTTATTTATCTACTAAGTTTGATATGAAATACTTGGGAGAAGCCTATGTGGTCTTGGGAATGAAAATAGAGAAAATATCTAATGGAATATCTCTAAGTCAGTCTAACACCATAGAGAAAATGTTGAAAAAGTTTGGTTTTTATGATAGTAAGTCTGTATCAACACCATATGATCCTCATGTACATTTGAAAAAAAATAAAGGAGAACTGATTTCACAATTAAAGTACTCACAAATGGTTGGATCTTAATTATACATAGCAAATAAGTCTAGATCTGATATCTCATATGCCGTAGGGAGACTAAGTAGATATACACATAGTTCGAGTAAAGAGCATTGTGTTGCCTTAGAGAGAGTCTTTAAGTATCTTAAAGGAACCTTAGACTACTCTTTATGTTATAGTAGATTTCCTAGTGTAGTTGAGGGCTTTAGTGATGCAAATTGGATCACCGATAGTTTAGATATAAAATCCACTACTGACTATGTCTTTCTGTTAGGAGGAGCAGACATATCTTGGGGATCTAAAAAACAAACCCTAATATCAAGAAGTACTATGGAGTTAGAACTTATAGCCTTAGATACCACGTGTGCTGAGGCTAAGTGGATAAAGAATTTATTACTAGAGATACCCATAGTGGAAAAACCCATACCTACCATTTCATTACACTGTGATAGTAAGGCAGT